GTAACCCCATCTTTCATATTTTACAAAAAATGGGTATTATATTCTCTTTCTGTGCACTAATAATAATTATAGTTTTCTTTTCGTAAAAATATTGGTTTGATAAACATTTGCGCAAGTATCGTGCGACATAAGAAATTGCAACTAGCATTTTTTATTCTACAGAGCGTCTGCTTTCTAAAAATATATAACTGTTTGGGATATTAAGCCATTTTCTAGCCAAAAATTCATATTTCGTGTGTGCAGAAATTAAGAAATTCCTCTGGACAGCAAGTAGTTAAAGGAGAATTATGGGGAGAGTGAAATACACCTATCCTCATAGTTAAGAGCCGACTTGTGACACTATTGATTGGAAACTAAGCGATCACATACCAGTGATAACTAAGTTCACAATCATCTCCCTGCAGAGAGTGGTGCAAACTGTCACTCACTGCTCCCCACAGGAACTCCCCCTCCCCTCTCCATTCCCATAGAACTGACTGGAGGAACGGACAGGGGAGGGGGCAGTGACAGCTGGCTGTGCCTCAATCAGGCAGCGGGGTGGATGTTGACTCTGTGATGTCAACATATTGTGGGCTATAGCCCGCTTTATGCTGAGTTTTAGGTCACAGGAGGAAATTAGTACATGTCCTCCTGTGACCCTATGGCAAAAAGTTCTATTTAATTATATTATTATTATTTACAGGATTTATATAGCGCCAACAGTTTGTGCAGCGCTTTACAATATAAGGAAGACATTACAATCACAATACAATTCAAGGTGAGATGGTAAGGAGGGCCCTGCCCCTGAGGGCTTACAATCTAAAAGGGAGGGAGAAGTGATACATGGGGAGGTAGCTCTGTGGGGATGAATTGTTTGAGAACATGATGTGATGTATACACAAAACTTTTTTTTGTTCTGGATAGACTAGGGTACCCTGCTAGGTTATATTTTTGCTGTCTGTTGACCACTGTGGAAATTTCACTATACTTCCTGTTCCAGAGATGCAATCTCTAAAACTGCGGGGAATTCCCCTCTTAAACAGCTGTCCCCAGAAAAGATGTCGCCATTGAAAGATTTTCCCTTACCTCTGAAGACAATTTTGGATTTTCCCTGGCATTCTTGGTGGCAATGTTTACCAGGAAAAATAAAGGGATAAACCTCCCCAGTGTGGGGGCACAGATGGCGAAAACATTGAATTTCAAACCCACCCATTGGTTTAGCCTTGGGCCACCAGTCTACCTGCATAGCTCACTTAGTACTGCAAGCATCAAAGTACTATAATTAGGAATTAAATATGCAATGCATGAAGTGCAACCTCATACAGTATGCACTTTATAAGCTGCATCTACTGTTATCATATTTATGGACAATTTGATGACTAAGAAGCATTCATAGGTAAGAGCTAATTGTCCTGTGTACAATTTGTGGGCCATTCACCAAACTCACAAAATCCAGAAATTGCAAACTTTAATCTGAACCTCATTAAAGTCAATGAGAGGGGCACCATTTCCAAGGGTAATAGGCCAGGAATTGTCAAAGAAAGGGAATAGAAAACTGCACACTATCATGGGGGACACCAATGAAAAAATATACTTAAACAAATACCATTCAGCAAAGAGAGGGTCCCTTCATTTTATGAGACTTCAAGGGTGACATGAGAAAAACTTATACTTATATGATAAAATTAAGCTTATGTGGTGTAACCAAACAGTATGATTCTCAAAGACAGCAACTGTAACACCATATCCTGGCATCATATATTTTGCATGTGTAATTCATTTTTTAAATTTCACATCCAGCTTGGCTGAAATACAGCATTGACACCCCAATCTGATTAGAGGGTAAGTCCAGTTTCCCAGGTTAATTTGGGAAAATTGAATTATCCCCTCCAATTTGGCCTCCTCTGCTCCCCTTGCTATACTTATCTTTGGGCGAATGCGCCTTCTCCTCCGCCGGTGTACTATCCATACTTCATACTGCCATGTTGTTCAGCCCTGCGCTCTGTATTTTGAATTTCGCTCACAAATGGAACCACTCATTGGTCAGCATGATCACCTGACCAACGAGAAGCACTTCTGACTGTGCTGAGACTGTACTGACCAATGAGAAGCACATATTGCTATTTCGCTATGCAAACGGCAAGCACTTATAGGTCAGCACGGTCAGGAGACCATACTGACCAATGAGTGCTCGCCATTTGCTAGCAAAATAGCAATGAGAAGTGCTTTTTTGCAAGAAGTGCATCTCATTGGTCAGCGCTGTCAGAAGCGCTTCTCATTGGTCAGGGGGCCAGATTGGAGGGAGTAATTCAATTTTCCCAAATTCACCTGGGAAAGTGGAATTACCCTTTGATTTCAACTTGCAAAAAAAGCTTATTTAGGTAGTTCTTGCTATGACACCTTATTTTTTATCTAGCAGTAATAGGCCTGAATGGAGCAGTGGAAGCTGCAGCCACAACAAATCTATAAGTTATAGGAAACTTCTGTTTCCCCAGAAAAATAAAGCTAAAACACTCAACCTCACAACAGTTATCCAGTGGCAAAACTGTATTTATCCTGAAATAAGATTAAGAGTGCCAAATTTTAGAGACAATAGCCACACATATAGCACAATGCCTAGAAAGCATGCAAGCAGCTTGATTGGGCAGTTTGTATTATGAAATAAAAATGAGAGTGTATTATTTGAGAGAAAAAGCCACAAATATTGTACAGACTTCATAGACAGTATTTAAACATTTGGAGTAAGCAACAGTTTCAAAAGGACACACAGGATGCAGTTTTTTGGCGCAAACATTAGCACTGGTATAGCCTGCGCACACAAACGTCCATGGGGTCATTGGTTCAAAGGTTGACTGCATGCACCCTAAACCCATTTAAAGCTACAGCCAGCAATCTAGTTAAGAAATGTCTTCCACACTCCCAGACTAGTCCCTAAAGATACTTAAACCAGTTATGAACCTTGGGAGTAAGAGCCAACTCACACAGTGCTCTTATTGTGCATTGCGTTAACACGCATTGTGTCACGCGATAATATGCGTTGTGTTAAGGCAGTCCATTCATTTTAAATAGGCTACCAATGCACCAGAACAGATAAAAGTACAAGCAACATTTTTCCACTATAGTGCACTACAAAGCACAGTAGTGCATTATTATAAATTGTGGTGTGCTGCAACTCATGTGCATCGAAGCTGCATTGCCTTAATACATTGGGGTACCATTTACAATGAACGACACCACAATGTATGTTACCGTGCATTGCGGTATTGTGCATGTTACTGCAATGCACTATATTACAAAAGGATGATTCCGCCCCAAAAAGGTAAACACTAAAAAACCTCCTCCAAATTTCTATACTTTGTGCGCTCTGTTTCTTCTCCCACAACATGGCCATTCTGCTGCTATAATTGTGATACATGGCTGTCATTTAGGCAGTTTCTGTGGAAATTATGAAAGTTGTATAAACTGTGTTTTCAGACCGCATTGAGAAATGTGCAACAATACTATTTTTACAGTGCACTAGTTCTTTGAGGTTCAGATCCAAGTAGGATGTACACTTAGGGGTCTATATATAAACAATGCACAGTGTCATTACCCTGCAAAGCTCTGTGAACATTCATTTTGTGTGAATAGTGGCAAAAATAAACGTTCTTAGTATGTTTTCTAAGTATATTTTCTTAGTATTTTTTGAAAGTAGTATAATGCAGCATTATGGTCCCTAGATGGAGCCGAGGAGCATAGGAAAGAAATACGTATTTCCTGTGCTTCTCAGCTCCATCTAGTGGCAACAATGGTATTTTCTTAATGTTACATTCGACCTGAAAATAACATAAACTGAGAATGTTTGTTTTTGCCTTTATTTGCACAGAATGAATGTTCACAGAGATATGCAGGGTGAATGGCTCTGCAAATTGTTTATAAATAGACCCCACCCTGTCAGTTAGAACAACCTTACAAGTAAAAGTGTTTATGAAAAAATCATATTTAACCTATTAATAAATAAACTGTTTTAAATGCCTTTATTTTATTTGTAAATAACTTTGCTATGCATTGCATACCAAAAATAACTTTGCTATGCATGCATACCAAAAATGTAATTTTAATCATTTTTAATTAAACAAATTATAGAATAAAACTTGAAAATTGTATCTACAGTAACACTAGTTAAAACCATCACTAGTCAAAACAGAAAAAAAAAACATTTTTCATTATATTATGTCTTTATGCCTGGACATTGCATATAAAATAAAATAATTTTTACAAGACAATATTGCGAAACGAAAGCCTTGTTTGTCTTGAAAATAATGATATATGTATTACTTCTGTTTTATAAGTAATGACAAAGTAATTGCCAAATCAATAGGCCCATAGCAAAAAAAAAAAATTGCTCTGGTCTATAAGGGGATTATGTGAGACATATAGCGGTTAAGGGATTCAAGAAAGCTATTCAAAACTTTTTTAAAGCTTTGTAAATGCTTACTGAATATGACATCCTTTCCACCCAACCTTTCCATCCAAATGTCCACCTGATTGTGATGTTTGTGATATTTTAGTTAAAGTCAAATCGTTCGTGTCAAGCCCTGGCTTGTTATATGCTTCAGATACTTCACCTGAACAGGGAGCTTTGGGCCTTCCCAATTAAGTCTTTATGTCCAGGACCTCCAGTTGCATTTTCAATGCTTTAAGATACATTTAAAAATGAGATAGAGAGAGTGGGAACACCTCATAATTGCCAAAGAAGGTGTGCCAACCTGACCCACAAGATATAGAAGAAACTGCCAATTGGTTTCATGGTCTGGCATGTACCAGAAATATCAGCTGTGGGTGGACTGACCCTTGCCATTAAACTTAGTTATATTGAGTTTAGAAATCGTGTTTAGAGCCTAAATGTAATAGCATGATATGATCGTACAAAGTTACAACAAAGTTATGCATTAGATTTTAAATCAGTAGTGAAATAAATCTTGTTAGAAAACACATTTCTCACTGCTGTTATTTACTCAGAGTGACTGTTCAGTACTTACTCAAAGTATTCCGCAGCTGGAGTGACCTTGAAAGTGTCATTGAAAGAAGAGTATCCCGAGCCATTGAAATCATATCTTGTCTCAGAACAGTTGGGACTATTCCATGAATTGTTGCAATGAATCCACGGAAGCTCCGATGTAAATGATGAGAACAGGTAATACAAAGCCCAAGCAATGATTACATTGTAAAAAAATCCCACATATAATGATATCAGAATGACTGTAAAGCCAACTCCTAAAAAGACAAAAAGTATTTTTTTAAAGAAAACAATTCAGGCAAGTATGAAAAATAGGAATGCTATTCGGGAAACTGTTCCAGTATAAGCCAGCCAATTTAGAGACATTTTTTTAATAATCCATAGCAACCAGATTCACCAGGCTTTTACAATGCATTTAACAGAACTGTAGCCTCTTTGTCCCGCAGTATTCTATTATGAAGGCTCCATATTTTATACACAGTCCCCGCCCTTTATTTTTGTGGGTTTAGATTTTATTACCATCCAAAATCCCCAAAAAAGTGACAATCTTAGGGATTTGGTGAGTATTGCAGCCGGCTTTTACGGTTACATGGAAGATACTTTTAGAATTACATTGATATTCTAATCTCTGAAGTTGTAGAGGCCTCCTTTCGTGATTCATTTTTTGCTCTCTTCTTTTCTATGTTTATCTATTTATTCTATATCATTCATAGGCTACTAACATACAGCCTTTAGTTCCGCTTAAAGCTTATGTGATAATATAACATAATATACATATAACATTATGTAAACCTTTACCACATTGTGCCAATAAAGCTGGAAGATACCTATAATATTAGCTTAATTCAGCAGCCACATTATTGCAAGCAACGCTTTCCCAAAGCTCTTCTGCTGTGCGGGAAGTGAGATTACAGCATAAGGATCCAGCTGGTTCCGTGACATAGTTGTGGGTAGGGAATAATGTTCCCCTGTATACTTTTCTGTATTCCCCCTTCCTATAGGTTGCCATTGGATGAAATCCTGTGATGTCACTGGACTACAGAGTTGCCGTGCGTCGACAAAGCAACATGTTCCAGAGAAGACTAAAAGATACAATCTGACCATGTTAGCACACATCTGCTGCCATTCTTAGCCTTGTCATTGTCAAACAGGAGTCTTTTCAATCACTGCAGAACTGATAGGATCACTAGGTGTTTGCAGTGCTTCTATACATAAAAGGATCATAATATTTGCTGTGAGAGATAGAAGAGTGTAGACCCTAGATTTTAAATTTTAACTTTATATACACATTAAGTAATCAATATTCTGACATGTACCCATTTTACTGTCTGGCTATGAATGCTTTATTTTAATTGCCTTCCTTAGCAAAAACTGGAATCACTTGGGCTGTTGAGTCTCCTCACTCTTGGGCCGGTGAGTCATCAGATGTTCTACATGTTTGCCATATATGTTTTAGTGTTTAATAAAGCCAGTGAAGGAAAACTATTCTTTAGACTAGCTCCTAGTAGTTAAATTGGTATGCTTTATTTCTTTCATGCCATCTTACTGTTTTTGTCTGCTGTCCACATACACATGCTATGTATCCTTTCCTTTTCTGCATGCAATAGAGATACGCTAAAATTCACTTAGCTTTTGTTATAGCTGGTTCACAATTTCCTTATCAAACAGAACTCTGGGAGTCAAGCAATCACAGGAAAACGGGTCTTGATCTAGGCATGCTCTCTCTCTCATAGTGAAGCCTTAGTGTTGTCCCATGGCAGAGTCCTCCTTTCAGCTTTGGTTCAGGCCTTTGTATCTTGGAACATTTATAACCATTCCCATGTGTGCATAGCCCTTTCTACTTATCCCTACTTCAGGGAAGCATTTCTGCCTGCAAACTGCCTGCTTGCCATAGGTCAGCTACATCAAATGGTCAAACTGCTGTTGATTCTTTTTGACACAGCTGCTATAAAATTTGGGTCCTGTGTGTGATCAAGAACTCCTCTACACAATGTGTTGTCTGAAAATTACATGTCAATATATTAGGGGTGCCGGTGTGTGTCACTCTTGGGCCAGTGTGTCATCAGATGTTTGTACAAGGCAGACAAATAATATGTATCATGTAAAAGAGTAAAATGATCAATGATCTACTACCCTGCTACCCTGTTAGAAATCTGCTACCCTGGTGAGACCCCCTTAGAGCCCTGGTGAGACTCCACAAAGCCATGGTGAGATCACGCATGCCCACCCACCTGTTTGTGGCTCCCTGGACGGCAGAGCGGACAGCAGCAGCCAGGTAAGACATCCCCCGAAAATAAGACCTAGTGTCTTTTTTCGTGAAAAAAAATTAAGACACTGTCTTATTTTCGGGGAAACACGGTATGTTGGCAAATTTTGCAACAGGTTTTTTTGCATTGTACGGCGCCATTCTGTGTCAGTTCCTGTTCTGGGGTCAGCTTGCTGCGTGTAAGCGTTTAAGGAGTGGTATCCTTCTCAGGTTCAGCGGTTGTTTGAAAGCCAGTATTGGGGGCTGAGGGAAAATGTCTTGAAGTATGGGGTCTTCTGAGAGTACTGGCTGTAATCTTTGATGATTTTGCATATTACCTCTAAAATAGGGTTGTAGAGGTAACACTGCTTGTGTTTTTCTTCTCCTTGTACTGTAGGAGTCTTTCCCGTGGTGTTCTTAGGGCAGATTTAATTTTTTTGGATATAGTCTTTTCCCTGTAGCCCTTTCACCGAAATACATCAGCCAGTGTGCTCAGGGTTTGTCTCTGTCCTCAGAGCAAATGCAGTGGTATCGGATTGCTTGGCTGTAGGTGACACCCTGTTTAGTGTGATTCGGATGTAAGTTGGAATTATGGAGGTAGCTGCACCTGCCTGTGGGTTTTCTGTATACAGACGAACGGAGTGAGCCATTACTGACAGTTATGGCACAATCCAGAAAAAACACACTGTGTACTGAGAAATTCATTTTGAGTTTAATCGATGGATGGAATGAATTGAATGATGCATGGAAGTTTAAAAGGCTTTCTTCTCCTTCTGTCCATATTATGAAAATATCGTCAATATAACGATAATAATTGAATGGTTTGTGGGGGTGAGTGGCTAGGAATCTGTGTTCTAGGTCAGTCATGAAGAGATTGGCATATTGTGGTGGCATTTTTGTGCCCATAGCTGTCCCGGTCATTTGTAAATATATATTGTTATTGAGATTGAAGTAGTTGTGTGTAAGTATGAATTCAATGAGTTTGGCGATGGTTTCACTATCATAATGCTTCATCTGCAGATGTTCTCAGCTGCTGGTGACTTGTGGGTAGTAGAGTGGGTTCTTCATAGTAAGTCCTTTTGGGATGAGGTTAATTTTTTTTCAACGGGTAAGAAAAAATATGTCACTGTTGATCTGAGTTTCTTTTCCAATCAACTTGATTGCTTGCTTCTTTAAGCGGCTGTATTTGGTATCTTCCATTGTAGTGTAATGTAAATGGGTAAGCTGTATTAGTCCAGTAAAGAAGATGTAAAAACAAAACGGAGTATTGTAGTATGCAATGATACCTTTCTTATTGGACTAACAAAATATATAAAAGACAAGCTTTCGAGAGTTAACCTCTCTTCAGGTCAGAAGCAATACTAATCAACATGACAACGTTTACCATTTAAAGCAAGAGAAAGTTGATATATATATATTTATATAAATAAATATATAAATAATATTCTTAATAGATATATCCTTAGTCATTATCTAATTGAGAATTAACCATATATTAAGTTGTCTTTTTGGGGATTAAATTGGAGGTGCAGACTACCCATCTATCCCTAGTTTGCATAAAACTTACATTGAAATAGTACAATTTCTCTAGAAAGAACGCTTAATTCGCAACACTCATAACATGGATAAGCAAGGACACTCAACTATATGAGTCATCTCTCCTCATGCATTCCCTTTTCTTATAGAGAATGTACTGTCAGCTGTGTGGTGATTAGGGTGATTAGGCTTAAGATTTTGCATTACGGCACAAAACATGTCAAGCATCCATTTACTCATGTTACTTGTGTGATCCTTGATCCTAAATAAACCTCCTTACTTCAGATGTACTGCATTGACTTGTCTATTGGACCAGTACTCTGTTATTGTTACTATATCTGTATAGTACATGACCATCTTTCCCTGATTCCACATCTGGAGGACCCTAAACATGCTGGATACTTGTCCTCACTATATTGTACTATTCCTGCCTGAATGTGCAAATAAAGGCTTTAAATACTCAGACGTGATGCAACGCTGAAAATGTTTTACCACCACAATGGCTTTTTCCAAGACTAGTCAATAATAAAGTGCAAAAACAAAAAGTGAAGTGAAGCACACACTAAAATGTTTGAAACAAACAATGGCTGCTTAATATTTTCCGGGATTTATAACATCTTATGTCAACTGTAATTACTTGTAAACCCTACCTGTTTATTCTCAGCCAATGAGGATGTGTACATGTGTACATTCATAAGGGGGAATTGCCAATTTCCATCTTTTTGAACTTCAGTGGTGTCCAGATGGAGGAAGCCAATGAAATGCTCTCATTTAGGAGCCTTTTATAGGGTCCCTCATACTGGACAGCAAGGGGCAGTTCAGTCTCAACTCAACAATTTATATTCAAAAAAATTCTGTTGCAATGCTATTTTATATTTTGCCAGAACCAAATATGAAATTGATTTGTTATAAAGGGAAAGCCTAACCATGGGCAGCATGCGAGCAAATATTTTGGACAGTAATATATTCCATTAAATACTTACATTGCAGATGATGCTTAAATACCAGGGTTATCTGTCCCATATAATGCAATGTCATGATTTACACATATTTACCTTTGAAAATAGGGCATATCTTCCACACTCCTGCAGCTCCCTCTCGATTAAACTGTCCAAGAGCCAACTCCATATAGAAAAGAGGCATACCAGCAATAATCATGAAAAATAAATATGGTACCAAGAAAGCACCTACAAATATAAGACACGAGACACTACTTTAATGTATAGCTATTAGGGCTATTAAAAAGACCTAAAATAACACAAATGTGTATATACATTTTATAAATCTTTAATCTGTAAGTAAAGATTGAAGCACTCGCAGACTTTGACTCACAGTATCACAACATAGTTTCTAGTAACAGAATAACATAGAAAACAATTACAGTTGGATAGTAAAGATGCTTTGTTAGCTTTACACTCCCATATTAAAAATACAAATATCTCTACTTTACAATATTGATTCAGGGAAGCTATTGCTTACAAAAAAAATAAAAGAGGGAAACAAAATAAAATATAAAGACTATGTGTCGGGAGCTTGCACCACTGAACAACTAAGTATGTAAAGCATTGTAGAAAGCCAAACTTTCAGTGCTCAGGGACAGAAAACAGAGATTCTAACACTTTCTCCACTCAATAATGCAATGGAATCTGTAGTTAGCTTTTCTAAGTGCTCCACAACAAAAACCTACAAAAAAGGCAACTTGCTCAAATAATTCACAGAAAATGCTGAGAATACACACACAAATACCCCAGCATAGGGTTTTCTTTCATACAAATGCATGTACAGGCTGCTGAATGAAAGCACCTCTGCAAAGTGTGGTCTCTAACTCTAAGCTATCTGAGCTCCCATCTTGGAACATACTGCTAGCATGACTGCATAAACTGTCTGTTTAAATTAATTTACTATAATCCTTTGTACACCAGAAATCAGGCTGCCAGCCTCTATTGTGTTATACTGGATTCTCATCATGGCATGTTTTGGGCACTTGGAGCTATAGTGAGAGGAGTTTGCCAGGCTTATGAGACTGCAAAAGGGAGGAGCAAGACTTCACCAATAGGTTCTGGAGGTGGAAAGATGACACACGCATCTGCAGACTTTAATTTGTGCCACACTGTATAGCTCAACAGAGCTCAACACACACATATAACATATACTGTATGTATTTAGGTGTGTGGATGGAGTTTATCAGTTTCAGAATGATGCATGCATAGTAATAACTCACCTCCTCCATTTTTGTAACACAGGTATGGAAACCTCCAAACATTAGCTAAATCCACTGCAAATCCAATAACTGAGAGAAGAAAATCAATCTTCTTACTCCAGGTTTCTCTCTCTTCATTTTCAGTATTGGTCTGGGATGGATTAACCAGTGTAGAGTTAGTGAACTGGACTCCATTTTGTTCCTTTACAAGTATAAGTTCAACTTCTTTAGGTCCCATTGCATTGGTTTCTTTAGCAGGTGCAACCACTGAAGACATTTGTCCCACTGGTGGTCTAGCTTTGATCATGAGGTTCTACCGCAGTCAACCAGTGGTATTGGAAGATTCCACAATTTTTAAACTGCAAAAAAGGAAAATGTAACAGGCATGATACAAAAAAAAAAAAATTCTGCCAGAGAAATATAGAAGAAAAACAGATCTTACCAAGAAACAAAATAAACAATATTAAATTATAATCCATTTACAAAAAATAAAACAAGCAACAGAAACCATTGTTTGTACAATCCATGACTGACCTTTAGATCTCAAAAAATGGACATACACATTTTTTATTTTTGGATGCTCAGTGGCTCTACTCATCTATCACACCACATAAATCCCCCAAAACAAATAGATTATAATAAAGCATATGCCTTTTGAAACCAACTCATTTATTTGTAAATCTATCTGTAAGAATATATGGTACAGTTGTAAAGGATGGACCCTAACTCACTTTACACAAATAATGACAGATTAAAAATGTAAACGTTTAACTTTGCTGTAGCTAGTCCATTTATTTGCATGTCTAATTATTTCTTGATTACTTTGTATGTATTCTTACATTTATTTTTTCTTATAGCTGTATATAGCTTATAGCTGATCTGTTCAACTGCTACACTTAAAATATGCACTCCAATTTACTAATTTATCACTACCAAATCACCAGGCAACCTGTCATATATAGATAGAGGGTTTTTTTTGGACTCCAGAATCGATTTGATATATGTTTCCCCATCAGACAAACCTTTCACAATTTATAGTATGGAATTATCATGCTTTCTTTTAGTATCATATTTGACTTAAAATAGCAAAGCTCTTTAACAGGACTATTCCCAATAATAAATCATTAGGTTACTTTATTTTGGCAGAAAGGTGACATTGGAAGACTGACAATGATATTAGCCCCACATTTGCTCCAGTTCTCATAAATGTGTCACAAAAACACTTTTGCATTTAGTAATGCTTGCATACAACTATTTAAAACAATTATAAATCATATAAGCAGACATTGTACACACTCACACACATACATTTATAAACAGAATATATATACAGTATGTATACAGTATATATATAT